TGCTGCCGATCGCGTGCCCACGGGACAGCCACCAAGGTGGACAGCTGTCCCTAAGCCATCCTTCCTCTGTCTGCCCCATCTGGGAAGGTCTGAAGGGAGCTGCCCAGAATGCAAGGTGCCAGGACAACGCAAGGCGCACGCGACCAAACCCCCAGAATGGGGACACTTCTTCTGCCCCCAAATCTGTAGCTTTCTTTCACTCTGTCATCTGTCATTGGGGTCTACTTCTTTGTTGAGAGGAAGCAGAACACATCACATCAGGGCAATGGACCCAGGGACTGATTTCTTCTTGAAAGCCAAAAGCAGTTTCCACTGGGAGCTTTTAAATGTTAAATTTGCATCTGTCTGCCTCTCACAGCTCCCAGACAAGGAAGGACTAGTCTACTCAAAAATTCTGAGCTCAGACCCAGCAACTGCTCAAAGTGCCTCTGGAAAGCAATAACTCAGCCGCTGCCACCTCTTCTCAGAGGTCAGATACGTCTCACCACACAGCGCCACAGGAGAGAAAAACATGAACGTGCTGGAAAAGAAAGGCTCCTGCCCAACTGTGGAGCATCCATCAGAGCAAATGGTGGATCAGAGAAAGAAAAGATGCTTATTTGGGATAAGTTCATGTTATAATTGAACTGCCTGAGATAGGGAGATATTCCAGGGTCAGTTCTGTTCAAAAACATTTAATGAGAATTACATGCAAAACAGAAGGGGGAAAGTTGCTCTGGCGTGGCAACGGCAATCCCAGTGGAAGGGCTGCCAGGCCCAGGAAAGGGTCTAGCACCCCGCCTTGAGAAAAATGGACAGACGCCAGATATGCAGAGGAGACAGACCAGGAAAATGGTGAAGCCGTGTGCTTCTCCCAGGCGCTCGGCCCATTCACTGGCTCATCATGTCAGAGCAGCCTGAGCAGGTAAATAACACTCATGGGAGGGAGGGCCCCGCCAACTGCCCACCCATCCTGGGAACCAGGAGCTTCCTGAGCCCGCAGAGATGGGAACCCTGAGGGGCCCCATCAACTGCCCACCCATCCTGGGAACCAGGAGCTTCCTGAGCCCGCAGAGATGGGAACCCTGAGCCCACACAGCATACCCAGCCTTAACACAGGTTTACCTCTCTCAGGTAACTCCGGATCCGGCTCTCACAGCTGTATCTCATATAGCTGCACTTATTCCTAAAGCGGGACTCCAAGCCTGCAAGGAAGGAGAGAAGACCCCATGGAGCCCACGGACAGGCCAGAGGCCTCTCAGTCTGTGCCCTGCCTGGCCCGGGCACCAGGCACAGCAGAACGCTTGGGTCAACTGCTCTATCTTGAGAAATACTCTGATAGTGATATGCCCAGTGTCTCTGCATGGTTTCTGTCTGTTCCTGGAGACCCCAAAACTACTGAGGGGCTTCTGCTGCCTGGCCCCATAACCCTCCTTTTCCAAGAGGGCTGCCATCCCTTGCAGTCTGAACTGGCCTAAAAGGCCATTCCAAAAGGAGGAAGCAACCCAGGCTTCCACTGATGAATGAATGGATGAGCAAAATGTGGAACACCTATACGATGGAATGTTATTCGTGCTCAAAAAGGCAGGAAATTCTGACACATGCTACAACATGGGTGGACCCTGAGGACACTATGCTAAGAGAAATAAGCCACAGTCACAAAAGGACAAAGACTATGTGATTCCACTTCTGTGAGGTCCCTAGAGCAGTCAAATTCAGAGACAGAAAGTACAAGAATGCTGGCTGCCAGGGCTGGGAGGAGGGGATGGGGAGTTGTTGTTTCACAGGGACAGAGTTTGTTTTGCAAGATTAAAACAGTTCTGGAGGTGGATGCTGGTGATGGTTGCACAGCGATGTAAACGCACTTAACGACACTGAACTGTCCACTTAAAAATGGTTAAGGTGATAAATTTCATGTTACATGCATTTTGCCACAATTTTAGAAAAATAAGAAAAATAATAGGCCGGTCCGACGGCTGTTCAGGGACTCTGACCCACCACGGGAGTGCTTGCTGGGTGCCTTCCTTCCAAGGCCCAGGAGCTCCCAGTGAGTCCCCCAGCGCAGCCCCCGAGAGGCCAGGCCAGCCCTTTGTTGGAACCTGGAATGGAGCCCAATTTCTCCCCGTGCCTCTGGCTCCAGGGAAGCCCTTCCCCTGCCCGCCCCGGCCGCATGGAGCCCGAGTCCACACACACCTTCAAACCAGGGGGCGTCCTGGGCCCGGGTCTCTGCAGCAATGTTCTGGCTGACGGTGTGCAGGAGGTCAGCCAGCAGCTTCTGCCGCAGCGGGGCCTGCTCATCACACAGCAGCTGCTGGGCGGCCTGGATGAGCCCCTCGTGCGGCTCGTGAAACACGCTGAGGAAGCGACCGATGTCACTCGCATCTGTCACCCACACGAGACACACAGAAACACATACAACCCAGTAGAAGACATACCCAGGAGAAGAGGCTCTGACCACTCTATGACCCCATCACTCAGAGCCTAGGGGTTGCCAGAACTCAGACCCCAGACGTCCCAGCCTTGTCCTTGCCCTGACACAACCAGCTGGTGTGACTCCGCCCCTGACTCCATTCCTCTGGACACCCACGTGTCAGGGTGGTGTAAAGACAGATGAGGAAGGCACAGACATGCTTAAAAAAAGATGGAACAAACGGCAGAGTAAACGTCCAGTCTTCCTTTTGGCTTCTCTCCTCCAAAGCCGCCTCTTTTCTGCACCTTCCCTTGAGACCTGACTCTCAGCCCTTCCGACAGCTTTCCTGCTTTTTCCTGCAGCCTTTCCACAACTCCCTAATGTGGTGAGCTCTCCAACCAAGCTCTTGACATGAAGTGAGCCAAAGGCTAGTGGAGTGGATTGAATTATGTCCCCAAAACTCATAGAAGCTTGAATTGTGTTCCCCAAGTTTTATGTATTGGAAACTTAGCCCCCACTGAGACTATTAAGAGGGTGGGAACTCCTATCATGGCAATTGAAAGATGGAGCCTTGGAGAGGTGATTAGATTGTAGGACCGTGCAGTAGTGAATGGACTAAAAATGGTGGTCAGGGGCGTGGTTCTGAGGGCTTTAAAAGAAGAGGAGAGTCTGTCTTTCTCTCTCTCTCTGCTTCCACTATCTTTCAATGTGAGACCCCTGGGTCACTGTCGCCACCACCAGAGGGACTGGACTTCTCAGCCTCAGAAACTGTAAGCAATAAATTTCATTTCCTTTATAAATCACCCAGTTCCAAGTATTTTGTTATAAGCAACAAAAACAGACTAATACAGTCTACCAAGGACTGTCACAAAATATTAGCGGATAGAATTCAGTAATATAAGAAAAGCAGCACACAGTCACAGCCAAATGGGAACGCAAGGCTGGCTCTATATTCAAAAATCAGTGTGATCTGCTCTATTAACAGGCTACAGATGCAAAGTCACATGATCATCCCAACTGATGCAGAAAAATACAGAAGGGAATTTGCAGCCATAGGGCTTGGTGAAAATCTCTCAGACTTAACACCAAAAGCACAGGCATTAAAAAAAAAAAAAAATCTGACAAACTGAGCTTCATCACAATTAAAAACTTTTGCTCTGTGAAAGAAGCTGTTGAGAGAACAAAAAGATAAGCAGACAAGCTACAGAGTAGAAAATGTCTGTGAACCACATATCTGAGAAAGAACTCATATCCAGAAAAAAAATAGGAAAAAAGGGGCTGACCTATTAGCTCAGTTGGTTAGAGCAAGGTGTTGTAACACCAAGGTCAAAGATTCAGATCCCCGTACAGACTAGCTGCCAAAAAGAAAAAAGAATTAGGAAAAAAAACTGAAAACTCAATGGTAAAAAGATCAAATGAGAACATGTACAAAAGACACAAAGAAACAACCCACCAAAGAGAATCTACAGATGGCAAATAAACACATAAAAATACATTCAACATCACTAGCCATTAGGGAAATGCAAATTAAGACTAAATGAGATATCACCACACTCCAACCAGAATGACTAAAATAAAAAATGACAACATCAAAAGCTAGCAAGACTGCAGAGCAACTGGATCTCTCATGCACCACCAGTGGAAAGGTGAAACGGCACAGTCACTCGGGAAAAGTTCGGCAGTTTCTTTTCCTTTTGTTAACAGCTTTGAGATATAATTCCCATTTCTTACAATTCACTCATTTAACGAGTACAAGTCAATGGTTTTAGTATATTCAGAGTTGTGCAACTATCTCCACAGCCAATTTTAGAACACTTTCCTCATCTCAAAAAGAAACCGCATACCCTTTTGCTACGAGCCTCTCTCCTTCCATCCCCTGGCCACTCCTAGCCCTAAACCACCACTCACCTACCTTCTGTCCCTAGACTCCCCTGTTCTAGATGCTGCATATGAATGGAATCTTATTGTTTGTGCTCTTCTGTGACTGGCTTCTTTCACTTGGCATGTTTTCAAGCTTTCTCCATGTTGTGCTTCATTTGTTCTCATAGTCAAATGATATTTCATTGTATGGACATACCCCACGTCGTTTATCCATTTGTTCACCCATGCAGATTTGAGCTGTTTCCACCTTTTGGCTTTCTGTCCCTAGACTCCCCTGTTCTAGATGCTGCATATGAATGGAATCTTATTGTTTGTGCTCTTCTATGACTGGCTTCTTTCACTTGGCATGTTTTCAAGCTTTCTCCATGTTGTGCTTCATTTGTTCNAGTTTCTTTTCCTTTTGTTAACAGCTTTGAGATATAATTCCCATTTCTTACAATTCACTCATTTAACGAGTACAAGTCAATGGTTTTAGTATATTCAGAGTTGTGCAACTATCTCCACAGCCAATTTTAGAACACTTTCCTCATCTCAAAAAGAAACCGCATACCCTTTTGCTACGAGCCTCTCTCCTTCCATCCCCTGGCCACTCCTAGCCCTAAACCACCACTCACCTACTTTCTGTCCCTAGACTCCCCTATTCTAGATGCTGCATATGAATGGAATCTTATTGTTTGTGCTCTTCTGTGACTGGCTTCTTTCACTTGGCATGTTTTCAAGCTTTCTCCATGTTGTGCTTCATTTGTTCTCATAGTCAAATGATATTTCATTGTATGGACATACCCCACGTCGTTTATCCATTTGTTCACCCATGCAGATTTGAGCTGTTTCCACCTTTTGGCTTTTATGAGTAAAGCTGCTACAAACACTCATGTACAAGTTTTCATATGGACGTGTGTTTTCATTTCTCTTGGGTATACACCTAGGAGGGTAATTGTCAGGTCATATGGTGACCCTGTTTAATCACTTGAGAACTGCCAGACTCTTCCACAGCGGCTGCACCATTTTACATCCCACCAGTGGTGTATGAGGTTTTCAATTTCTCCACATCCTCGCCAACACTTGTTCTCCTAGTAGGTGTGAGAGGGTATCTCATTGTGGTTTTGATGCGCATTTCCCTGATACCTAATGATATCGAGCCGCTTCTCATGTGCTTATTGACCATTTGAATAACCAACACTTGTTCTCCTAGTAGGTGTGAGAGGGTATCTCATTGTGGTTTTGATGTGCATTTCCCTGATACCTAATGATATCGAGCCGCTTCTCATGTGCTTATTGACCATTTGAATATCTTCTTGGAGACTGTCTCTGTTCATATTCTTTGCCCAGCTATAAACTCGGTTGTCTTTTTACTCCTGAGTTGTAAAAGTTCTTTATATATTGTGATACAAGTCTCTTATCAGATTGGTGATTTACAAATACTTTCTCCCATTCTGTGGGTTATCTTTTTACCCTCTTGAAGGTAACCTTTGAAGTACAAAAGTATTTAATTTTGATAAAGTCCAATTTATCTGGGGGGGGGGTTGTTTGCTTGTTTTTGTTTTTTGGGTTTTTGTGCTTATGCTTTTGGTGTCATATCCAAGAATCTTTTGCCAAATCCAAGGTCTTGAATACTTACCACAATGTTTTCTTCTAAGTGTTTTATATTTTTAGCTCTCAAATTTATGTCTCTCATCCATTTTGAGTTAACTTTTGTGTATGGTACAAGGTAAGGGTCCAACTTCATTCTTTTGGATGTGAATATCCAGTTGTCCCAGCACCATTTGTTGAAGAGTGTATTCTTTTCCCCCATTAAATGGTCTTGGCATCCTTGTCAAAATCAGTTGACCACAGATACACAGATTTATTTCTGGGTTCTCTCTTCTAGCCTACTCATCTATATGTCTACCCTTGCACCAGTGCTACAGTCCTGATTACCACTGCTTTGCAGAAAGCTTTGAAATCGGGAAGTGTAAGTCCTTCTACTATGTTCTTTTTCAAGATTGCTTTGGCTGTTCTGGGTCCTGTGAAATTCTATATAAATTATGGATTGGAATCAGCATGTCAATTTCTACAAAGAAGCCAACTGGAATTTTAATAGGGACTGTGTTGGATTTGTAGACCAGTTTGGGAAGTACCACCATCTTAACACTGTTAAGTTTTCTAATCCATGAACATGGGATGTTTTTCCATTTATTTAGAGCTTTAATTTCTTTCAACAATGTTTTGTAGTTTTCAAAGTATAAAACTTTTGGTACCTTTTCCCCAAGTATTTTATTCTTTCTGATGCTATCATAAATAGGATTATTTTCTCAATTTCATTTTTGGATTGTTCATGATAAGTATATAGAAGTACAATTGGTTTTGTGCATTGATATTGTATCCTGCAAACTTGCTGAGCTCAATTATTAGTTCTAATGTTTTTAGCGGATTCTTAGGATTTTCAACATATAAGGTCATGTCACCTGCAAATAGAGTTTTAATTTTTCCTTTCCAATCTGGATGCCTTTTATTTCTTTTTCTTGCCTAGCTATCCTGGCCAGAACCTCCAGTACAATGTTAAATAAAAGTGGCAAGACATTCCCGCCCATCTCCAAAGTCTGTGCCACTTACAGCCCTGCCAGGTCTGGCCCTCTGTGAGCAGCACGAGCTCAGCGTTGTCAGGGATGCTGGGGAAGTAGTCTTCAGTCACCTCCGTCCCATCCTCATACAGGCACAGCCGGGAGCCAGGCACAGGGAGCTGGGGTGGGAGGGGAGGAGGAAGAGCAGGCAGACCCTTACTCACTGGGTCTCAGGCGGGCCACTCTCCGATCAGCAAGAGGAGGCCTCATCTGCAGACCTCACAAACAACAAGAATGAGCGTGTGTGAAGAACCGAGCTCAGGATGCCGTCTGTGTGCAATGGCTGCATGAACACCCAAGACAAGCTTTCAGCATCCAAGAATCCACCGGTCAAAATGAGGGTAACTTACTATAGGTCCCTCTAAGACATGAAAAGTCATGTAAAAATAGACATGAAGTGGTGACTGCTTTGCGGGATTCACCACAGGGGCCTTTTAAAAATGAGCTCCTTGAGGGCACTTAAAATACGAGCCTGTTTCAGAAAGGGATGCCTCACTGCCTCCGCTGAGCTCGTGAACATGTCCCCGTCGGTGACTGCGCGTCCACTGACACCTGCAGTGACAGAGGCTGAGCCATGACGGAGAAGGCCTCACTGAGAGTGACCCACTGCCTCCGTCCGCGGCAGGTGACCGGCACCGGGCTCTGTTAATCTGCAGAGGTCTGGCTCCCTGTCCCTCCACGCTGGCCAGTTTTCGGCATGTTCACGGCCACTCCCAGCACGAGCACCACCGCCCCCACGTGCACACACGTGCGACCCTAGCGCTGATCTGAGCCCACTCAAGAGAACAAAGTAAGAATAAGAAGAGTGATGTCTGAAAAGCTCAGCGGTCGGGGCCGAAAGGGCCTCGGGAGGCTCCGCCCCAGCCCCGCCCCTCCACGTCTGGTGGGTAAGCTGAGGCCGGGGGAGGTGAGGGGGCTGGGGGAGGTCGGGGGGCCGGGA